AACATAAATTTATTCATAGTAAAATGTACTCGCGGGCCGTAAAAATTATTTGGCGGGCCATATACGGCCCACGGGCCGCCAGTTGGACAGCGCTGATATATACTATAGTATGGATAATAATAGGATTGAAGACACGAGACGATCAAGATGTTACGTTACAATCATTCAAAACTCGAATGTCTTTCGTGGATAAAGGTTTAATATATGTCACCATCAAAGATCTCAAAAATTAAACGACACAATGGGTATATTTTCACCGAAATAATTACATAATAAAAACTTGACTTTCATTTTGTAATAAAACATCTTTATGCACTCATTTCTTCAATTATAAAATTACATCTTTCACAATTATGCATTTTTTACGTTTTTACAATTTANCGATTTCGATCGACGTTAAGGGTTGAACGAGCCGATTATTTCGCAACCAACGACAGAGAGCGAGGAAACAAATTTTCCTTTGTGATGTGTCATCAATTGATAACTGCTCGTATTCTCCTTAAGGAAGATGCAAATATGATGTGGAATGGATGATATATACTATAGTACGGATAATAATAGAATTGAAGACACGAGACGATCAAGGTGTTACGTTACAATCATTCAAAACTCGAATGTCTTTCGTGGGTAAAGGTTTAATATATGTCACCATCAAAGATCTCAAAAATGAAACGACACAATGGGTATATTTTCACCGAAATAATTACATAATAAAAACTTGAATTTCATTTTGTAATAAAACATCTTTATGCACTCATTTCTTCAATTATAAAATTACATCTTTCACAATTATGCATTTTTTACGTTTTTACAATTTATAATAAGTTAGTGATTCGAAATGATGGCCGAATTGATAAAGGCCGTTTGCTAATCCACGTTCAGTGTCAGCTTATGTATTTTCACTGGTGAAGAGGGAGACTGATACATCCGAGTCGACTAGGATGCATCGAACTCTCCCGGGCACCCTTATTGAGTGATGGCCGGGGAGCGATGGGCCCGAAAAAATGTTTTATTGCTTGCAAGACAAAAGGAGTCAAAGGTTAAAAGATAAAAGAACCACTTAAATGCTCTTCATGAACATATTCGAGCCCCGTCCCTCACCATCCGCCCGTCCTGTTGTGGGCCTGGCCGAACCCGGTGCTAAAAAGCTCCTCTTAGTGCCCATAGGACGAGATTAAAAAAAAAAAACACCACCGATCATTCATAATGCACACAATAATGGCAGACCGTGTAGCCTTAATGCACTCATTAATATTTCTATCATTTTATAGGAGGATAATTCGCCATCTTTTAAAAAGTTTTTCGGTTCTTCTTCAACGCCAATGAGAGCTTCATAATTTAAAGTTGTGATTCAATTATCTAATCGTAATTTCGTCGTTACGTTGATGAAAACAAACGTAAAGATAGAGGAAATTAATGCAATTTTCTTCAACGGGAAGAACGATTATTATTTTTTTTTAAATTCGGAAATTGCGTCATTTCTACGAACTGTTCCCAACAAAATCTGCCTAATATCAGGAATTTCGACACTAAAATAATTTAGGAAAGTAATTTATATCGAGTCATTTAACTTTTGTGCAGTATGTTACTGGAGAGATTGCGGCCGAAGTTCAAACGTTAAACTTGTACGTCAAGCAAAAGTGCACGTTTGACGTTTGAACTCCAAGTAAAACATGTTGCGCCACACGTTTACCGTCGCGCACCGACTCATGGGATATTGTTGAAAAATGACGGAAAAGTTGAACAACTACGAATGTTACCAGCGAAGGTAAACAAATTAAACTATTTTAAAGTATTTATAGGATAAATACNGGCCTAAGCATTATATTTTACTCCCCCGGCGCGGGCCATCTTGGAATTCTGCTGGTTTATTCCGAGTACAATTATCCTACGCGTAGGTAGGCCTAATAGTTTGACGAAAATAAGCTTATAAAACTGATCACGGGCGTTGGGCATTAAAAAAATTTCTGGTAAGGTCCATTTTATCGTGACGTAACGGGCCGCGTTAACAGTGCGCGGTTGTTTGGTCCGATTCGCAAAGAGTCGACGGCAACGAACCGAAAAAAAATATAGTCTTTCGGACGTCGCACCGCCTCCTCCCTCTTTCCTGTCACTTTAAAAATACGATGACGTCATGGCTTTAGCCACTTCGGCGTAGGCAGCGACGTTGCTACGTAAACACCACGAAAGTACCCTGGCAGAGAATGACTGTTACCACGCGCGCATCAGTTTGGATTCTTTTTTTTTTTTAAAGTATACATTAAAAGGAAACCAACAATCGAGCCTTTCCGGCTTCTCAATTTGTTAAATTCCACTGAAATTATTGGCTTAAAAATTCGAAAACGATAGCGTAGTTAGGGAACTTGTTTTATGCGGGAACCGTGTTATGATTATCATTAATTAATGACGCACTTTGAAATAATTGTTCCGTGCATCTGGTGTTTCGATTAAATTATTCCGTGTTCTAAGGTGTGGCTTTTCTCTTTTCGAATTCTTCTTCCAGACTTATCCAACATTTTCGCGCATTGTTTTAGATCAATCGTGATCGATTAATGCAATCTGGCGGATACAAAAAGTCGATTTATCCGGACCGAAACGGATTAACCGAACGCTCCGGATTTTCGCGTTAGTACGCACGGTCTCCGGAAGATGGCGACACTCGACGGACTCCGCCTCCGACGGTGACGTTTCTGGCCGGAAGTGACTTATCGTCACCGGACGATGTAGCGATAACGTCGTCGTTTAAAGGCGAATCTCCCGATTGGTTCCTTCCTCTTTGATTTCGAAGAGATTTCAGAGTCGGAAGGTATCTTCGGAAAATTCCTCCAGAACTGGTATTGTCGGAAACGATCGAAAATGAATTTGGCTGCGAACTTTTGATGGGTATCCAATTCATTCATCGAATAGCACTGTTGGCAGAGACGGAACGTGTTTGCCATTTCCCGACTCTTCCGAAATTTGGCAGAGCACTCCGTTCGAACGCCGCGTTCTGCCAAATTCTTACGAAATTCTGGCCGATGATTTTTCACTAATAGCGAAGTTGCGGCCGAAGTTTTCATCTCTAAAACGTGAACGTCGCTCGACGTTCACGTTTTAGAAAAGAAAACTTCGGCCGCAATCTCGCTAATGACAATTGGGCATACATTTTAACGCGCGAAATCGCAGCTACTCGAGCTGCTGGAATTCCCGGAAGAAACATTCGGCATAATTTATTACTGTTCACGCTGATTGTTGAACACTATAGAAATACAAAACGAAATTTAGGGCTATATCCACACTCTATACATTTAAAAACACTAAACCTATAAACCAGCAAACTTTTATGAAAAGTGCAAATGTTTTCGCCCGTGTTGAACGGGCATCATCGGGCCGAATGCCGAAAACGTGTGCTGAGAGGAGGTGACGTAAGACGGGAGAAAAGGTTCCTATCATTTAAAATGTTCTAGATTTATAGTACATTTATGTCAGAAACAAAAATACAATTTATTCGGGAAGATAAGTGCGATTACATTCGAGCACCGTCCGTTGATTGGGCAGAGGACGGGTTCTTGCAGAACAAAATTCGAGTTTTTTTTACTCGAAGAACTGCAAAGCGATTTTCGTCGAGATTCGATGACCTTTATATCAAAATGACAAAGCGCACGCGTGCTAATTTAGTTAAAAAACCTAGCATTTTTAAAAAGTTGATATGGCGAAACTATCTTTTTACTTCGGATCGTGCACCTCGACAACCTTCGTCTACATACCCCGTCATGTGCCATCTGTCTGAGAACAATTTCGAATGTAGAGAAGTCTAGAAAATTCCACAAGCTTTGGCATCAACCCCCCAAAAAAGTGCGACTCTTGTTTAATTTTTTTCGCGCTTCCGTTGAAAACCATTCGTAATGGCGCCGGGGTCTGTCGTACTTGGGTCAAATTCGCCAGAAATTGGCCGAAGCCAGAGCAAACTCTTATTGAAGTTTCAAAAATCGATGTTTTGTCGCAACGGAAAGCTAATTCTGCTTTTAATGCCAGAAATATGGATAAAGTAACGATTTCTGTTGCAACCGTACTTCAGAAAATCTTGTAATCAGAATACGGACAAAATAATTCAACAGTCCTTAGCTTTATTCAAATCTCGAGTACGTCGTAACAGCCGTTCAAAAATTCCGCGTTTAATTTTATACATTTTGGACCTTTCCACGTTTTACACACCTCTTCGCCGTCCGAATACCGATATCGATCGTACAATTCCGGAGCTTTGGCTTTCACCAATTCCGGATCCAGACGATCGGCGCCCTTCGAAGGACATTCGTTAATTAAATGTCGGGCGAAGAGTCTAGCCACGGGATGATAGTGTCGCAAGAGAAAGTGTAGTTCCCACAGAGACGTGGCGTGGGCGTTGCTGTGTTCGGGGTCCTCCGATTCGGGAAGAAATACCCCACTGCCCCCCGCTTCTTCAACGTCCAATAACACGTCGGCCTTGCCGACGGAAGTCATCAGGTATCTCACCGCCGACAGAAGAGCTACCGTTGCGTGGCCGGAGGTGTGAAGACCCACGGTGCACATCCTTTTCACGAAAGCCAAGATCCGACGCACCGGGTCGCTCTTGTGTCTTTTCAGAACGGCGACGTCGATGCATTTCCTCATCGCTTCCAAATCTTCCTCGCGACTGCCGGCGTGCATCGTGATTAATAGCTTGTACAATTGAACAAAGAACCTCTGCGGGTCTACGTTGAGGACCGAACCCTGTCCGGACAGGACGACGAATACCGTGTGCAGACAGTGAAGAATTTCGACGTTGCTCAATCGGACTCGGTCCGGGAGGGCGTGCAGTTCGTTCATCAGATTGTCGAAGAACTCCACGTTGATCAAGTGGGCGAATTTCGACAGACCTTCCAAGACTGGTGTTAGCAACTTAGAACCCGTCGAATCCTTCAAAACCTTGAAATAAATAAAAAAGATGCGCTTCAGAATTTCGCTATTGATCCTGGCTCTTTCCGACTTGTTTTCTTCCGCTTCCGTCTCCCTCAACTCCCGTTCCAACTCCTTGGATTGCTTCTCCCTCTTCCTTTCTCTCCTCGACATCCTGGCCAGTTTCTCTCTCATCTTTTTTGCATTCTTGGTCGACGTTTCGTCCACCCTCGTGTCTATCGGGTTCAGACTGATAAAAGTCCTTACAACTTCCGGACGCAAGTTTCTCCTGCTCTTCACTAATTCCACCGTGTTCTTCACGATGGCCAAAGACGTCTGGCCTTTTTTGTCTTCTCGAAAGACTTGGCAGATGGCCCGACAGCACTTTTCCGAAACTTCGTCGTCTCTGCTGGCCGCCAAGGGCACCACCACCCGAACGATGTTGACGCCGAAGTTGAAATCGGCGTGGGTAACCAGAAGTCGGCACAGACATTCGATGGCCACCAGACCCAATTTCCTCCTCCTCTCCGCGTAGACGTCGCGGCCGGCCGCGAACTTCTGTCCGAAAGCCGCCTTCACGGCTTTCTCCAGGAACTGCAGGTATTGTTTGTAGTATCTCAACAGACTTTCCTCGAATCTGTTGAGCTTTCTGGTCTCCTTTTTCATTTTCTGAGACTTCTCTCCTTCGCCTAACGGGCGTATCTGATAAGAAGGCAAAATGTCGCCGTACACCTCCAGAAGCGACAGCGCGGTCAACCTGGCAATCACCAGGTTTGCCGTGGGATCTTTCTCTTTTAAGAGGAGAGTGAGTTCCTTCAGGCGGTCCATATTGTTTTCGGGACTTTCCACAATCCAGCTGCAGTAGGTGCCGATCTTGGCCTTCGTTTCGCGCTTCAGCTTCAATCGTCGGGCCAAGGTTTCGGCCAAGGACACGGGCTGCGGGTCGGTCGGTTCTTCCGTCATCTCGTCTTCCGGAGGACGACCATCGTCTTTCACTTCCTCGTCTCGAAAGACCAGACCCTCCTTTCCCTTAATGGGTAGCAACCAGCGCCGTTCTTTTCGCTCCTCCACTTTATTTCGAGGTAATCTCTCGTATTCTTCTTCCGTGCAGGGAGTAGGACGCTTTCTCTTAGCTACTCCAAGCAATTCGTCGTCCTCTAACATGTCCTCCACCCCGTAGTAATCGTCTTCTTGCTCCCCATTTTCTTCCACCGTTTCGTGTCTTTTGAATCTCTTGCGCCGCGTCATGATTGGCAGATACCTGAAACGAAAAATAAATAAGTAAAATTTGCATTAAACTTCACGGCAACGCGACTCGTGAGCGATCTGCCGGGAGACATTTCATGGGAAAATAGCCCCTATTTAAATGTTGCTAACGTCAAGAAAACCCCCAAAACTCCCATCCACTGTCCAGGCGGGAACCCGCGACCAACCACCGCTGTTCGGTGGTTTTATCTCGGAGCGAGCATAGTTTAAATATCGTAAACAAAAATTCTGTTTAAAGTAACAAAAGGAAAATTAAACTCGACCATCTTCTTCCGACAAGTGTTAAAAAAACTTGTATTTTCAATAACGATGTCAGAACTATTTGAAGATATGTTGGAAAGGAGATTTAAATTGTAACTTTATCTAACAATAATCTACAATAATACCTTTGTATTGGCAAAAAATTCCTCTTGGAATAAGGTTAAATTGGCCGTAACTAATTTATGGGAGAAAGTAAAACGCATTTTAGCGCAAAACTTCGCCGTATGGCGTCGAAATCACTATTGGCCCGAGGCGAGAATTCGAATAAACAAGGGATCTTACAAGTTAGATCGTTAGACAACTGACAGATCTAAAATTAAATATATTTTTTCCATATTTTATTATTTTAATTCTTTGGACCTATATTATTTATACAACAACAACAAAAGTTTTAATAAAAATATTTTTGCCAGGTAACCAATTAACCTTTGGAGACTCGACCCTGCCTGCATGAAATATCTATATATCGGTATACAGTATATAAATGAAGATGTTTGTTTTGTTTGTTCGCTACATACTCCTAGGCCATTCCACCAATTGCTACGAAACTCGGCAGTTGTGTTCAAATACTTCCAACTTAGATTGTGTCGTACATCCCACCCCAAATTATCGATCGGATTTCTATATATTGTTTAATTTCTGTGTACATTCCATTGCTGGCTTTACGTGTAGCGCTATCTATTGGAAAAATTTAACATAATAATTCACTAAATATAATTCTTACAAAAAAGGATATATATATATTATATTCACCGAATTACTGCGACGACATAGCGCATAATAGATGCGCCATTACTGCGACAGGTAGCACAGAACTTGCCTGTGTGAAGTGTTCTAGTGTTTTTCAAATTGCAACCCAATAATTTTCCCATAGACTCAATATTTACGAGAACATACTTCCCACGTAGTTTATACAATCGGTAGGCAAAATTTAAACACTATCATCACACAAAACGAACAATTCTAGCATTGTTATGAGTTTTTTTTATTTAAACAAGTTTTATATGAAGTCTTTCGGACATTAAGGTTAGCAACTTCGATCACGTACTGAGCCATCACAACCTGTCTAACACGAATCACTTTTCAAATGTTAATAGAAGACCGGTATTAATTAGAAGTGGTTGATCATTCTCTCTTCCCGGAGGAGGTCGGTGAATACTTTTAGTGGAATTACATCGCTTCCCTTCCGCAACACTCCCTTCTTTCTATCGGACCCAGCAGTATAATGGCATTCGAATGGGAAAATTCCGTAATACGAGATTACCGGCCAGCACAAAATATGATTTGAAGTGGTTTTCGAAGATGCCGAGTTTAAATATTTGGTGTCTTTACTCAACAAAACACCGTATCTTGATATACGCGATAGCATCGAGTGATTAATTAACCGCGTTAATCAAGGGATGCCTGTATTATATTGCATTTGTAGGCATTTTTATGCAAGAAACACAGCTAAAAAGAAAAAAAAGAAAGCTTTGTTTCGGTTTTCGAACAACTTCCAAAAACGAATAAAGTTCGAAACCCGAGGTTCCACTATATAAACACTACAAATGCCGACTGTAAATAATTACATTATTATTTGTTAATGAACGCTAAATTCTGTAAGGAACACACGATGTACCAACGAAACAATGGTGATTTTAATCACGTGATTCTCTTAACCAATACAAATTGAAATATACAATGTCCATACTAGTTTATATAGTAAGTATATGGGCTATACCACCAGCGCCTGTGTCAAAGGATTAAAGTTCAAGCAATATATAAATGTATCTTCTTGAAAATGGCTCATGACCAAAATTTTACATCGAATAAATTAAAATTAAGCCAACGATAAATTTCTATGTTCAAGCTTCAAGTACTAATTAAGGGACTGATCTTACAGTTTGTTTCTATCACTGAATACAACACTTATTACAATATTTAAAGAAAATCCGCCAGTAAGGCGAGTCTTAGATTCGAGTAAATATGGCACAGTTTTTAAAATTTGAAAAAAAAGGAAGCAGTCATTAATGGGACAAAACGGTTATGTCATTGGGCTGCAATTTGAAAAAATTGTAGACCTAACAATTCCCACTGTCATCCACCCGCCCGTCTTTCCGTAATATCGAGAACAGAGTTAGATAGATGAAAGATGAGACTAGATGTGGAAACTTTAGGGTCAGGAGACCCCAATTAACTGATGTAAAACTTATGCAGTATTCTGTTCTGTGAGCATCCTGCATTGAAATCATTCCGAGAACTACCTGTATAAATATTTAAGGTTTCGATCCAGACACTAAACTGCTAATTGAAAGTTCTTCCGGCAACACCTAAGGATTACACCTTTTATATCACAGCTCTTAATATGTAGAACAAATACTTATTAATAAAGCAATTATATTCCCAAAAGTAGTTTAACTAAATTGCAAAATTCGGTTGCCAAACTTGTAAATTTTGCTATCAGTTTTTGCAAAGAGAGAACCACAATAAAATTCCCGTCAAATACTAAATTTGTTTTTTTCTAAATGGCGATAATGGTGTTTACATAGATTTCTAGATTCTTTCAAATGTCGTGTTGATTAGTCTTTTTCATATTCACATTTTGAAACACACAAATTTAACATCTCTTAATTATATTAGAAAATCTTTATAAAACAGGAAACAGTTGAAAATATACCCTTGAAAATAAACTAAATTTATTACAAAGTAAATTATGATTAATTTCAGCTGCAAAATAAGCAGAATGGATCTATTAATTTTTAAAATGGTAGCTGAATTAATGATAAGTCTGAATCTATCTTCAGTTATCTATTTTTTCTGAAACATCTTTATAATTTTAAGATTGAATAAATTATTACATACTGTAAATAAGATACAAACTTACAAAAAATTCCACACGACTTTCTGAAATTATTATTAGTATAGAATCTGCTCGAGTAAGAAGTAATCGAGATAAGCAGCAAGAAAATTTAAAACCGTCGACTTGGAAATCTAAATAGAAACACAATAACATCGGATTTGAACTTAAACGGCAAAACAAAATAAAGCCGTGTAACTTATTCCAAATACGGTACACGATATAAATAGTTACTAAACAAAAGGTGAGCAGCTGTCTGGGCAAAGCAGAATAAAAGTGAATGAGACATCTGCTAGAAGGGCCTAGGATCACCTTTCACCATATGGACTATATCTTTGTTCCTCCTAGCAGTCTTCCTCAAATGGCTCCAGGTAGATGGTTAATTGAAAATATATCAAATAAAATCTAAAGCTTAAACAGCTAATAAGGTTTCTTATAGCTAAGAACTATCTTAATAATATTTTTTAATAATAAAGCAGAACTGAATACATGTACAGAATATATATAATTCAGGCACAAAAGAAAATAAATTGTTACTTAATTAAGGAAAATGGTTTTAGAAAGTTAGAAATACAAACTTCTTAAATATTTCTAGGCACTTATATTCATTTTTTTTTATGTCTCATACAAATAATAGGTATCAAATATCAGTACAAGGTACTCATATACTCATTTAGATTTCATGTATGTTTAAATCTCCCACTTGAAAATATAGTATGAGATACAAATAGATCTATTATGAAATTTTGAAATATGTGACAGATGATATTTTGATAAAACAAATACTTTTTAAGTGTCTTTTTTTTTTCAAATAGATTCTAATTAATCAGAATTTGATAAAGATAGTTACAATTAATATTGTATCTAGTATTTTAATAGAATATAAGTAATTGAATATATATATATATATATATATATACATATACACATACATATATAATGAATTTCTCAGTTTTATATTATTAATATAAACACATTTATTAAAGNATTAATAATAATAATTTAGTAACATAAATTTATTCATAGTAAAATGTACTCGCGGGCCGTAAAAATTATTTGGCGGGCCATATACGGCCCACGGGCCGCCAGTTGGACAGCGCTGATATATACTATAGTATGGATAATAATAGGATTGAAGACACGAGACGATCAAGATGTTACGTTACAATCATTCAAAACTCGAATGTCTTTCGTGGATAAAGGTTTAATATATGTCACCATCAAAGATCTCAAAAATTAAACGACACAATGGGTATATTTTCACCGAAATAATTACATAATAAAAACTTGACTTTCATTTTGTAATAAAACATCTTTATGCACTCATTTCTTCAATTATAAAATTACATCTTTCACAATTATGCATTTTTTACGTTTTTACAATTTATAATAAGTTAGTGATTCGAAATGATGGCCGAATTGATAAAGGCCGTTTGCTAATCCACGTTCAGTGTCAGCTTATGTATTTTCACTGGTGAAGAGGGAGACTGATACATCCGAGTCGACTAGGATGCATCGAACTCTCCCGGGCACCCTTATTGAGTGATGGCCGGGGAGCAATGGGCCCGAAAAAATGTTTTATTGCTTGCAAGACAAAAGGAGTCAAAGGTTAAAAGATAAAAGAACCACTTAAATGCTCTTCATGAACATATTCGAGCCCCGTCCCTCACCATCCGCCCGTCCTGTTGTGGGCCTGGCCGAACCCGGTGCTAAAAAGCTCCTCTTAGTGCCCATAGGACGAGATTTAAAAAAAAAAAACACCACCGATCATTCATAATGCACACAATAATGGCAGACCGTGTAGCCTTAATGCACTCATTAATATTTCTATCATTTTATAGGAGGATAATTCGCCATCTTTTAAAAAGTTTTTCGGTTCTTCTTCAACGCCAATGAGAGCTTCATAATTTAAAGTTGTGATTCAATTATCTAATCGTAATTTCGTCGTTACGTTGATGAAAACAAACGTAAAGATAGAGGAAATTAATGCAATTTTCTTCAACGGGAAGAACGATTATTATTTTTTTTTAAATTCGGAAATTGCGTCATTTCTACGAACTGTTCCCAACAAAATCTGCCTAATATCAGGAATTTCGACACTAAAATAATTTAGGAAAGTAATTTATATCGAGTCATTTAACTTTTGTGCAGTATGTTACTGGAGAGATTGCGGCCGAAGTTCAAACGTTAAACTTGTACGTCAAGCAAAAGTGCACGTTTGACGTTTGAACTCCAAGTAAAACATGTTGCGCCACACGTTTACCGTCGCGCACCGACTCATGGGATATTGTTGAAAAATGACGGAAAAGTTGAACAACTACGAATGTTACCAGCGAAGGTAAACAAATTAAACTATTTTAAAGTATTTATAGGATAAATACTTTAAAACTAAAACTAAATAATTATTTTTAATTAGTGTCGATACGATAGGACTACCTCATACTTTTGTTGAGGGAAGTAGTGGCTTACGTAAATCCGAAAGCAGCTCGGGAAATTATTTTTTTAAAATTTACAAACGTATTACACTGTTGATGGTAGAAGATGCCTAAAAGAACAAACCTACTCCTACAGAATTATAAGGTATTATTAACACAAATTTATGTAAATTCTATAGGCACTTCACATCACTTGCAAACAATTGAATTAAATAATTTCTGGATTAAAATCGTCTGTTTCTTTACAATATTATTCATAAATGCTTAAATAATCATTATTTTAATAAAATACGTCATAATGTTAACCCGAAACAGAAAAAAATGAAGAAGTTTAAGCCGAACTTCTATTCGCCATGCTAGACGTAGCAAACGCCATTATCCTTTTAGAATTGCCAGATGGTGGCGCTCGACCGTCCGCCGTACACGCTTTGGGCTGAATACGACGGGGCAACCTCTCTATTAACCATACAGGATGAAAATTAAAAAGGCAATACTATCTACAGATTACGTCTAAAAACTATGTACTGTACTGTACAATTGCAATTTATAGACTCTTCTAAATGCCATAGGCAATTGTTTTCGGTGACGAGTTACGTAAGCAAGCCAGTTACAACGGTTTCGCACAAAACGGGTCACGTCATTGACTTTCTTAGCCGCTCGTCACTTGCACGTAACCCTTATACGCGAATTTAATTAATTAAAATATAGGATATTAAATAATGAAAAAAACTAATAAACACGTTGAAAGTTCGTCGCTTGTTATTCTAACCGAAAAATAGCCGCCATTAATCACGCTGTAGCCAGTTTAATAGTATAAAAGTATGAAAATTATGATAATAAGCAAACGAAAAAATATTTTAATAAAATTCCTCTATTGAGAAATAGGATAATTTATCCAAATTAAGGGCGCGATCAATCTGATTTGATCGGCGCCCTTTAAAGGACATCGTATGGCTAGACTCTTTGCCCAATAACAACGTCCAACGTTCAACGTCCAATAACACGTCGGCCTTGCCGACGGAAGTCATCAGGTATCTCACCGCCGACAGAAGAGCTACCGTTGCGTGGCCGGAGGTGTGAAGACCCACGGTGCACATCCTTTTCACGAAAGCCAAGATCCGACGCACCGGGTCGCTCTTGTGTCTTTTCAGAACGGCGACATCGATGCATTTCCACAGCGCTTCCAAATCTTCCTCGCAACTGCCGGCGTGCATCCTAAGTAACGTCATGTACAATCGAACAAAGAACCTCTGCGGGTCTACGTTGAAAACCGAACCCTGTCCGGACAGGACGACGAATACCGTGTGCAGACAGTGCAGAATTTCGACGTCGCTCAATCGGACTCGGTCCGGGAGGGCGTGCAGTTCGTTTATGAGATGTTCGAAGAACTCCACGTTGATCAAGTGGGCGAATTTCGTCAGTCCTTCCAACACTGGAGTTAATAGCCAGGGTGTCGAATCCTTCAACACCCTGAAATAAGTCAGGAAGACGCGTTTCAGAATTTCGCTATTGATCCTGGCTCTATCCGACTTGTTTTCCTCCGCTTCCGTCTCCCTCAACTTCCGTTCCAACTCCTTGGATTGCTTCTCCCTCTTCCTTTCTCTTCTCGACATCCTGGCCAGTTTCTTCCGAATCACTTTTGCATTCTTGGTCGACGTTTCGTCCACCCTCGTGTCTATCGGGTTCAGACTGGTAAAAGTCCTTAGAACTTCCGGACGCACGTTTCTCCTGCTCTTCACTAATTCCACCGTGTTCTTCACGATGGCCAAAGACGTCTGGCCTTTTTTGTCTTCTCGAAAGACCTGGCAGATGGCCCGACAGCACTTTTCCGAAACTTCGTCGTCTCTGCTGGCCGCCAACGGCACCACCACCCGAACGATGTTGGCGCCGAAGTTGAAATCGGCGTGGGCAACCAGAAGTCGGCACAGACATTCGATGGCCACCAGACCCAATTTCCTCCTCCTCTCCGCGTAGACGTCGCGGCCGGCCGCGAACTTCTGTCCGAACGCCGCCTTCACGGCCTTCTCCAGGAACTGCAGGTATTGTTTGTAGTATCTCAACAGACTTTCCTCGAATCTGTTGAGCTTTCTGGTCTCCTTTTTCATTTTCTGAGACTTCTCTCCTTCGCCCAACGGACGTATCTGATAAGAAGGCAAAATGTCGCCGTACACCTCCAGAAGCGACAGCGCGGTCAACCTGGCAATCACCAGGTTTGCCGTGGGATCTTTCTCTTTTAAGAGGAGAGTGAGTTCCTTCAGGCGATCCATGTTGTTTTCGGGACTCTCCACGATCCAGCTGCAGTAGGTGCCGATCTTGGCCTTCGTTTCGCGCTTCAGCTTCAATCGTTGGGCCAAGGTTTCGGCCAAGGACTCGGGCTGCGGGTCGGTCGGTTCTTCCGTCGTTTCGTCTTTCGGAGGACGACCATCGTCTTTCACTTCCTCGTCTCGAAAGACCAGACCCTCCTTTCCCTTAATGGGTAGCAACCAGCGCCGTTCTTTTCGCTCCTCCACTTTATTTCGAGGTAATCTCTCGTATTCTTCTTCCGTGTAGGGAGTAGGACGCTTTCTCTTTGTTGCTCCAAGCAATTCGTCGTCCTGTAACATGTCCTCCACCCCGTAGTAATCGTCTTCTTGCTCCCCATTTTCTTCCACCGTTTCGTGTCTTTTGAATCTCTTGCGCCGCGTCATGATTGGCAGATACCTGAAACGAAAAATAAATAAGTGAAACTTGCATCAAACTTCACGGCAACGCAACTCGTGAGAGATCTGCCGGGAGACATTTTGTGGGAAAATAGCCCCTATTTAAATGTTGCTAACGTCAAGAAAACCCCAAAAACTCCCATCCACTGTCCAGGTGGGAACCCGCAACGAACCACAGCTGTTCGGTGGTTTTATCCGTTCGGCCACTGGTGGGCGCTCCGAGCTTGTAATGCATGAAATATCTATACAGTAGACCCCCTATAAAACGGGTTCATATAGTTCGAATTCCTATATAACGGCGAAAAAATTGCGACCGTATTCGTATAAACACGCTAAAAGAAACTCTTATAATTCAGTAAAACGTCATCCCCGACTCGTGTCGCGACGGAATTGGTCGAATCTAGCTAGACCAATAGCCGATATTGCCCAAACCGTTGAGTTTAAACGAGCAGCAGACCTACTAAAAACCATTTATTATTTAACGTCCATAAAAATTATATTTATATTAATGATGTCTCCAAACTTCAGTAAAGTTTTCGCAGAAAAATAATTTATCAGAAAGCACGCGAGCGCCAGTCGATGCACCGCTCCGCGACGAAAAGAAGCTTAAGCAATGGCGTCGTCGAACGGTGCACACTCGGTAAGTAATCCTACAATTTTTTGTTTATGGTATAGTTTATGTCTATTATTCCCAAAAAATTATACGTATTTTGGAAATGTTGAGTTGAATTTGCGGACCTTTACTTTGGATTTTACTTTTTGANTTATCGATCGGATTTCTATATATTGTTTAATTTCTGTGTACATTCCATTGCTGGCTTTACGTGTAGCGCTATCTATTGGAAAAATTTAACATAATAATTCACTAAATATAATTCTTACAAAAAAGGATATATATATATTATATTCACCGAATTACTGCGACGACATAGCGCATAATAGATGCGCCATTACTGCGACAGGTAGCACAGAACTTGCCTGTGTGAAGTGTTCTAGTGTTTTTCAAATTGCAACCCAATAATTTTCCCATAGACTCAATATTTACGAGAACATACTTCCCACGTAGTTTATACAATCGGTAGGCAAAATTTAAACACTATCATCACACAAAACGAACAATTCTAGCATTGTTATGAGTTTTTTTTATTTAAACAAGTTTTATATGAAGTCTTTCAAACATTAAGGTTAGCAACTTCGATCACGTACTGAGCCATCACAACCTGTCTAACACGAATCACTTTTCAAATGTTAATAGAAGACCGGTATTAATTAGAAGTGGTTGATCATTCTCTCTTCCCGGAGGAGGTCGGTGAATACTTTTAGTGGAATTACATCGCTTCCCTTCCGCAACACTCCCTTCTTTCTATCCGACCCAGCAGTATAATGGCATTCGAATGGGAAAATTCCGTAATACGAGATTACCGGCCAGCACAAAATATGATTTGAAGTGGTTTTCGAAGATGCCGAGTTTAAATATTTGGTGTCTTTACTCAACAAAACACCGTATCTTGATATACGCGATAGCATCGAGTGATTAATTAACCGCGTTAATCAAGGGATGCCTGTATTATATTGCATTTGTAGGCATTTTTATGCAAGAAACACAGCTAAAAAGAAAAAAAAGAAAGCTTTGTTTCGGTTTTCGAACAACTTCCAAAAACGAATAAAGTTCGAAACCCGAGGTTCCACTATATAAACACTACAAATGCCGACTGTAAATAATTACATTATTATTTGTTAATGAACGCTAAATTCTGTAAGGAACACACGATGTACCAACGAAACAATGGTGATTTTAATCACGTGATTCTCTTAACCAATACAAATTGAAATATACAATGTCCATACTAGTTTATATAGTAAGTATATGGGCTATACCACCAGCGCCTGTGTCAAAGGATTAAAGTTCAAGCAATATATAAATGTATCTTCTTGAAAATGGCTCATGACCAAAATTTTACATCGAATAAATTAAAATTAAGCCAACGATAAATTTCTATGTTCAAGCTTCAAGTACTAATTAAGGGACTGATCTTACAGTTTGTTTCTATCACTGAATACAACACTTATTACAATATTTAAAGAAAATCCGCCAGTAAGGCGAGTCTTAGATTCGAGTAAATATGGCACAGTTTTTAAAATTTGAAAAAAAAGGAAGCAGTCATTAATGGGACAAAACGGTTATGTCATTGGGCTGCAATTTGAAAAAATTGTAGACCTATCAATTCCCACTGTCATCCACCCGCCCGTCTTTCCGTAATATCGAGAACAGAGTTAGATAGATGAAAGATGAGACTAGATGTGGAAACTTTAGGGTCAGGAGACCCCAATTAACTGATGTAAAACTTATGCAGTATTCTGTTCTGTGAGCATCCTGCATTGAAATCATTCCGAGAACTACCTGTATAAATATTTAAGGTTTCGATCCAGACACTAAACTGCTAATTGAAAGTTCTTCCGGCAACACCTAAGGATTACACCTTTTATATCACAGCTCTTAATATGTAGAACAAATACTTATTAATAAAGCAATTATATTCCCAAAAGTAGTTTAAATAAATTGCAAAATTCGGTTACCAAACTTGTAAATTTTGGCTATCGGTTTTTGCAAAGAGAGAACCACAATAAAATTCCTGTCAAATACTAAATTTGTTTTTTTCTAAATGGCGATAATGGTGTTTACATAGATTTCTAGATTCTTTCAAATGTCGTGTTGATTAGTCTTTTTCATATTCACATTTTGAAACACACAAATTTAACATCTCTTAATTATATTAGAAAATCTTTATAAAACAGGAAACAGTTGAAAATATACCCTTGAAAATAAACTAAATTTATTACAAAGTAAATTATGATTAATTTCAGCTGCAAAATAAGCAGAATGGATCTATTAATTTTTAAAATGGTAGCTGAATTAATGATAAGTCTGAATCTATCTTCAGGTTATCTATTTTTTCTGAAACATCTTTATAATTTTAAGATTGAATAAATTATTACATACTGTAAATAAGATACAAAAACTTCAAAAAATTCCATACGACTTTCTGAAATTATTATTAGTATAGAATCTGCTCGAGTAAGAAGTAATCGAGATAAGCAGCAGGAAAATTTAAAACCGTCGACTCGGAAATCTAAATAGAAACATAATAACATCGGATTTGAACTTAAACGGCAAAACAAGATAAAGCCGTGTAACTTATTCCGAATACGGTACACGATATAAATAGTTACTAAACAAAAGGTGAGCAGCTGTCTGGGCAAAGCAGAATAAAAGTGAATGAGACATCTGCTAGAAGGGCCTAGGATCACTTTTCGCCATATGGACTATATCTTTGTTCCTCCTAGCAGTCTTCCTCAAATGGCTCCAGGTAGATGGTTAATTGAAAATATATCAAATAAAATCTAAAGCTTAAACAGCTAATAAGGTTTCTTATAGCTAAGAACTATCTTAATAATATTTTTTAATAATAAAGCAGAACTGAATACATGTACAGAATATATATAATTCAGGCACAAAAGAAAATAAATTGTTACTTAATTAAGGAAAATGGTTTTAGAAAGTTAGAAATACAAACTTCTTAAATATTTCTAGGCACTTATATTCATTTTTTTTTATGTCTCATACAAATAATAGGTATCAAATATCAGTACAAGGTACTCATATACTCATTTAGATTTCATGTATGTTTAAATCTCCCACTTGAAAATATAGTATGAGATACAAATAGATCTATTATGAAATTTTGAAATATGTGACAGATGATATTTTGATAAAACAAATACTTTTTAAGTGTCTTTTTTTTTTCAAATAGATTCTAATTAATCAGAATTTGATAAAGATAGTTACAATTAATATTGTATCTAGTATTTTAATAGAATATAAGTAATTGAATATATATATATATATATATATATACATATACACATACATATATAATGAATTTCTCAGTTTTATATTATTAATATAAACACATTTATTAAAGTATAAAATAAGGTTTTTATTTTTAAGTAGAACAACATAATTTATTATCATAGGATATTGTCAATATGCTTCCTTTGTAATTTTCTAACAAATGATTTCATTGATATCTAAACCTCATTCACCAGGGAATCAAATTAATCTTTAAGACTAAGCAATAGTAACTAAGTTTTTGGCTATTACTTTATAGTAATCTATCTCGTACGTCATCCAATATTTTCTGTAGTTTCTTTCATAGCAGTGGTGCTCAAAGTTTTTTGGCTTGTGTCACACTTTAAAATGTGAAATAGTTTTCTTGCACAAGTGTTCTATAATAACTGCTATCCTAAACGCCTAACTTATTTATTAGTTTGCCATGGATGTACAGTATAAATCCTTGTACGAAACAGCTTCTTGTTTTTAAAATATACTGTCACGATACTCGTGTCACATTTAGACATCTCTTGTGAGACGGCATTTGAGAACCACTGTTCTACAGCAGATAGGAATGCCTAGATTTGCACGATGTTTCTAGCTCTTATATAGCTTCGACCCACGAAAAGTTAGATGGTTCTTTAGAACAAGTTGCGAGGAACTGAGGAAAAAAGAAAACAGCCAGAAGAGACTAATTATGACACAGAAACAGAGTCAGACGAGCTGGAGATTACAAAAGATAATAGGGACGGCGACTCCGAGTAATCGAACGAGACAGATAGACTTTTTTGTAGAAGACAAATATAGTAGAACATAATTGATCTGTCAAGAATAGTATAGAAAAGTCTGCAAGAGACAGAATCATATAATCACTAAATGTGATAAGTATGAAGGCAAGCAATGGAGGTGGAATGACATTTTTAATTATCTGGATGTTTTATAATTACATTTGTTCAATAGAGTTCCAAGATTAATTCCCTCTTTTATTCATATTTTAAAATAAAATTAAATATTGGAAGATTTGATGTAATATTACATACGCAGCATAATAACCGCAGTGCACCCTCTTGCAAAATTCTAAAAAACGTCATCCGTCTTACATTTCCATGCCGGATAGCGATTTATTTCTTCTTTATTTAAGTATAACTAATTTTGTGTGGTTGTTTATGTTTATTAGTAGACTCGACACGCAACAGAGTTCTTACAAGATAACTTGCCGTCCTACAGATATTATCGATCACATTTCTTTTTGCCAGTAATTTAATATCGTACATGGAAAGTTATCAGTGTCTCGACAAACATAACACGGCCTTACTATACGTTTTTTCCACAGGCTACCTTCTACTCGAGGTGACTACCTTCTAGCTAAATCATCCTTTCTCAAAGTGGGCACTGGAGGCTTTCGGGGGGGCAGTAAAAGGCTCAGTGATTAAATATGAGTTTTATTTCTTCTCATTGAAACATTCTTTGATCTCAGAAATGGATATGTGTCACACACTATCTATCCTATCCACATAATAATGCATGTTTAAACATTATATTTGCAATAACTGTTTTTAAGATACGAAACAAATAGTAATGTAAAAAAGGTACGTTAAAAAATATGGGGACACTAGATTTTTTTTTAATCTCAAAGTGGGTGGTGGTTGAAATAAATTTGAGAACCTGTGATCTAAATGATATTTAGAAACAAACCACACCTTGTTTACATCTATACCTGTTGTTTATTATAATTCATACATCAAAAAGTTTTGAAGTAGACTTATATACCAGTAAACAATATACAGTACCTTCTATATTTGGCACGGAGAACAGAAGGGGTGAGCCGAAGGAGGAGTCAAAATTTCAATTTACAGAATTCTCCACACGTGCCAAATTCTGAATTATGCATCCATTATACAATACAGGCACATTAACAATGTATCTCAATTAAATTTAATGCTCGTATTTGAAGTATCTTAAAGATATTTCGGTGCATCAATTACGCTATATCTAAACACTAAGTTATACTTTTAAGAACACCTATCGTACTTAAAAAAAAACAAAACAACTTACTTTTGTTTCGTCAGCTCTCCCCTCCACGTGGAGTGGACACGCGATTATTCCTTAAGTGTTGCCATCCCGACACCACGTAAAAATAATTAAAACATAACGAAAAATTTCGTGTTGTATTTTATCCAGAATATTCTTTATTACTTATTATTATTATTATNTTTTGGAAAGAAACCTTTCAAACAGCAGTAGTCCGTAAACTGCATACGTGCCGGGCTGTGATTGGCTCATGTATTTAAGGACTCTTAGAACATCAATTTCATAAAGAACGGAACGTATCTACCGTGTTATAGGGGGGGTCGACTGTATATATATATAAATGAGGATGGATGTTTGTTCGCTGCACACACCTAGGCCGTTCCACCCATTGCCACGAAACTCGGTAGTTACGTTCAAATACTTCGAACTTAGATCGTGTCGTACATACATCCCACCGCAAATTATCGATCGGATTTCTATATATTGATTAATTTCTGTGTACAGTACATTCGATTGCTGGCTTTACGTGTAGCGCTATCTATTGGAAAAATTTAACACAATAATTCACTAAATATAATTCTTACAAAAAAAAAAAGGATATAATTTGAAATATATATATATACAGTACATATATATTATATTCACCGAATTACTGCGAGAACGATATAGCGTATAATAGATGTGTCATTACTGCGACAGGTAGCACATAGAACTTGCCTGTGTGAAGTGTAGTAATGTTTCTCCCCTGTACATTATACTTTTCCTTAGCAATAGAGTCGTGTCGATCATATCTATCTATCTCCGTTTGGGGAAAATTTTGAATCTACGTAACGATACTTCCGTTTCAGACCGGAGGTTGATATATAGTTAATGTGGGCCTCCTGTCCATATGCTTTTCGTATCTGGTGCCGTATTCTCGTCTCTTCTTTCAAGGACGAGAGACGAAATTCGTTTCTCAGAGACAGTGGCGATTCTGGTCGCTTTTAATAATCTCGTCTTCGGTGATGACGTCAGGATTCTACTAGGTTGATTATACACGTAATTACGAGGCAAAAGACGGAATTCGCTCGTCTCCGAGAAACGAGAGAAAAAATTGTCCAGAATCGCGTTTGGAGAGACGCCATGATCTCTCGAGACGTAAACAAATGATTAGCCAATTAGCGACCGACCGTTATAAATAAAAGAATACGGCCCTTGTTGAGTTGCGCGCCAAGTTATGGATGTGTGAGCAAATGCATGTATAGTTTTAGATTAGAATAAAGTTTAATTCTAAGTTCATCATTGTTTTAACGACTTATATACCAGTAAACAATATTACGTATACAGTAGAGTCCCGAAAACTCGGCCACACCCTGGCAGGGCGAAAAACCCCTAGTTAATTTTCATTATAGACAGCTTTATGCCTCATAAAGTATTTTTCTGGGGTCTGTCTTATCAGGTAAATTACTGTACACTGTGTATTCATTAATTTTCATTTTCATGTAGTAAAGGCCTTCATAAAGTACTGTACATACTTTTCCTTTGTTTAAGGGTATTTGGGCAGTTTATTCTCTGTTGTATTCTCAAGCAAACAATACATACAAGTACAGAACAGTATTTTCTGAGGAAACACTCGTACTTATTCTTTTTTAATCCCATTCCCGATAACCCGGCATTTTCACAAACTCGGCCACCCTTCGGTCCACATTAGGCCGAGTTTTCGAGATTCTACTGTATCACATAAGTAAGGCACATTAACAATGTATCAATCAATTTTAATGCTCGTATTTAAAGCACATTAAAGATCTTTCGATATATCAATTACCCTGTATCTAAACACTAAGATACTTTTAAGAACACCTATCATACTTTAACTTAAAAAAAGAACACAAAACAACTTACTTTTGTTTCTAAACGATCGCCTATTATTATTCGGGCTTTGAGTTGTTATTCACTTTTGTTTCCTTACTTATCCCCTCCACGTGGAGTCGACACACGATTATTCTTCAATTGTTGCCATCCCGACACCACGTTAAAAATAGTTAAAACATTACGAAAAATTTTAAGTTGTATTTTATCCAGATTATTCTTTATTATTATTACTTAAGTACTTGAAAGGCGATGCCATCGAAGCAAGATAATTTTTTTTTTTTTTTAAACTCTTTCCATCCCGCGAGCACTATGAAGGCCTGTTTATGCAAGCCCATTATGGGTTTCTCCAAGCCCAGAATGGTGCGGCTGGGTGGTGAAAGACAGGGATATCTAGACGGACCACTCTCCAAAAAATTCCTGGTGATTTTTCGACCCGTCCAGTTTTGATTCCGACTCCACCAGAGCGGTAGGTTGCTACCCTAACCGCACAACCATCAGGCCGCTGCGAGATAAGCCTCCTCCAAGCGAATAACAAAGATGTTACAAGATAAAGCGATGAAAAAATGATAAAACAAAGCACCAGACAATTAAAATAAACATAAGACTTCTCTATAAAAGCATTTAAATACATAAAAGTGTTAATGCTACCTATGGTTCCAAAATGGCTACGCTTCGGTTAGATTCGTTTTATTTCCGTTAGATTAACTACATTTTTAGTAGACGTTTCCTTATTTATTTATTTATTTTGTTTAAGAACTACCGTTTATCAATAACTAGTGACGTTTGTCACTCGGCGGCCTGCCGGCGGCTCACTCCGTGTTGAGTCCGTCTGGACTACGAACAGTCAGAAGCGCTGCCATTTTGAAACTATAGGTAACATTAACCCATACAACTCCTGATAGAATAGGTCTTCGACGTTTTTGACATAGCTAGACAGCGGCGGCCTTATCCATTGCGAGGCTCTGGGCGGCAGATCTTTGCGAGGCCCTTGTCCTTTGTGCAAAGTATGTGAATTGAAATAGTAGGCACTTATTAATATTAATATATACTGTACTATAAATTAAATTTATTTTTTTGTTATAACTAATAGCCAAGGATAAAATAAAAAGTTTTAAATATCAACTTTTTTCTACTCGGTTGTTGCGCGAGGCTCCTCCAAGAGCGAGGCCCCGGGCGATTGCCCTGCTCGCCACCCCCTAAGGCCGCCACTGTAGCTAGATCTATTAAAAAATGTTGCAAAAAAAAAGTTGCATTATTAATTTTATAAAAAATTCGAAAAACGTTACAGTATAACCAAACTAATACATTTTTTCGTATTATTCAGTAAAAATTTTTCCATTGAGAACGGATGGAAAATTGATATAAAGATTATTGTTTAAGTGTTTTCCATCTATTTTTTTTAATCTACTTTATTTCCGTTAAAATGCTAAAGAACTGTAGTGAAATTGCCGATTTCGATCGACGTTAAGGGTTGAATGAGCCGATTATTTCGCAACTAACGATAGAGAACAAGGAAACAAATTTTCCTTTGTGATGTCATCTATTGACAACTGCTCGTTATCACGACTTATTCTCCTTGAGGAAGATGCAAATATGATGTGAACGTGAAATGGATGATATATGCTATAGTACGGATAATAATAGGATTGAAGACACGAGACGATCAAGGTGTTACGTTACAATCATTCAAAACTCGAATGTCTTTCGTGGATAAAGGTTTAATATATGTCACCATGAAAGATCTCAAAATTTAAACGACACAGTGGGTATATTTTCATCGAAATAATTACATAATAAAAACTTGAATTAGAAACTTTCATTTTGAAACGGTTTTACAATCTACTCATATAAGCTATCGATGCCGCTGTTTGTATATCTGTAATCTGTCATCTGTCAAGGAATTCCTAGAACGCGTACTAGGGGACGTCCCTAGCGATGATTTTCAGCTATTATTTAAATTAATAGTATAATTGTATCAGACTCCCCCGGACACCCTTATTGTGGTAGCGGCCGGGGAGCGACGGACACGAAAAAATCTTTTANATCTCAAAGTGGGTGGTGGTTGAAATAAATTTGAGAACCTGTGATCTAAATGATATTTAGAAACAAACCACACCTTGTTTACATCTATACCTGTTGTTTATTATAATTCATACATCATAATTTTCATCAGTTTTGAAGTAGACTTATATACCAGTAAACAATATACAGTACCTTCTATATTTGGCACGGAGAACAGAAGGGGTGAGCCGAAGGAGGAGCCAAAATTTCAATTTACAGAATTCTCCACACGTGCCAAATTCTGAATTATACATCCATTATACAATACAGGCACAGTAACAATGTATCTCAATCAACTTTAATGCTCGTATTTGAAGTATCTTAAAGATATTTCGGTACATCAATTACGCTATATCTAAACACTAAGTTATACTTTTAAGAACACCTATCGTACTTAATAAAAAAAACAAAACAACTTACTTTTGTTTCGTCAGCTCTCCCCTCCACGTGGAGTCGACACGCGATTATTCCTTAAGTGTTGCCATCCCGACACCACGTAAAAATAATTAAAACATAACTGCTCGTATTCTCCTTAAGGAAGATGCAAATATGATGTGGAATGGATGATATATACTATAGTACGGATAATAATATGATTGAAGACACGAGACGATCAAGGTGTTACGTTACAATCATTCAAAACTCGAATGTCTTTCGTGGATAAAGGTTTAATATATGTCACCATCAAAAATCTCAAAAATGAAACGACACAGTGGGTATATCTTCACCGAAATAATTACATAATAAAAACTTGAATTAGAAACTTTCATTTTGAAACGGTTTTACAATCTACTTATATAAGCTATTGATGCCACTGTTTGTATATCTGTAATCTGTTATCTGTCACGGAATTCCTAGAACGCGCACTAGGACGTTCTAGGAATTCCGTGTCCCTATCGATGATTTTCAGCTATTATTTAAATTAATAGTATAATTGTATCAGACTCCCCCGGGCACCTTTATTGTGGTAGCGGCCGGGGAGCGACGGACACNGTCCCTAGCGATGATTTTCAGCTATTATTTAAATTAATAGTATAATTGTATCAGACTCCCCCGGACACCTTTATTGTGGTAGCGGCCGGGGAGCGACGGACACGAAAAAATCTTTTATTACTTGCAAGACAAAAAGAGTCAAAAATTAAAAGAAAAAAGAACCACTTAAATGCTCTTCATGAACGTATTCGGGCCCCGTCCCTCACCATCCGCCCGTCCTGTTATGGGCCTGGCCGAACCCATAATAGGCTTGCTAAAATGGCCCTCTTAATGCTCACAGGGCGGCGAGAATTAAAAAAAAAAATCACCGATCATTCATAATACACACAATAGTGGCAGATCGTGTAGCCTTAACGTATTCACGCTGTTAAATCAATCAGTCAATATATTTGAACAAGGCGGCATGTTATTTAGCAATATTGTTGCGATCAGTAGCACGTCTTATTAATGAATCTCTACTTTAACGCACTCATTAATATTTCTATCATTTTACAGGACGATAATTCGCCATTTTTTAAAAAGTTTTTCGGTTCTTCTTCAACGCGAATGAGAACTTCATAATTTAAAGTTGTGATTCAATTATCTAATCGTAATTTTGTCCTTACGTTGTTGAAAACAAACGTAAAGATAGAGGAAATTAATGCAATTTTCTTCAACGAGAAGAACGATTATTATTTTTTTTTTTTTTAAATTCGGAAATTGCGTCATTTCTACGAACTCTTCCGCAATAAAATCTGTTTAATATCAGGAATTTCGACACTAAATAATCGAGGAAAGTAATTTATATCGAGTCATTTAACTTTTGTGCAGTATGTTACTGTATAACATTAAAAATGTCGGAAAGATTTCTGTAATTCCACAAGGACAGTTTCGATAAATAAATAAATATATATATATACTAAATAATCTAAATCTATATAGAAATCATTGATTTATACGTACGATTGTTAAATAAAAAACAAAAACTTCCGTTTCCATCCTCTCTAGAACGATTAGCCTATATGGAGAATGACCCAAAAGTCACTTAACCGTGATATGTTTTAAGAGCGGTTAAAACCGGTTAATTGACTTTTAAGCCACAATTGGGACTCAAATGTTATAATTTATTTTAAAAGAATTGGTAAAATTTGTAGTATTGATATAAAAAATATAAATTAAAAAATGTTAAACGATACTTGTAACTTAGAATTAAAAATTTTTCCATTTAATTATGCCACTTTAGCGCCTTTGGAAGGGTCCAGGTTCGATTTTTCTCTTTTTGGTCTAATGGAACGAAATAAAAAAACGTAACTAATATATTGAAATTATCGGATAAGAAAGATTGAATAAACAATAAAGATTGGAAAATTTAATCAAATTAACTCCAGAAATTCAATAGCGATCAATCTGATATGATAATAATAACATAGAATAAAAATTAAAAAGACAATACTATCTACAGATTATGTCTAAAAGCTACGTACTGTACAGTTGTAGCAGTGTAGCGTATAGACACATCTAAACACTACAGGCAATTGTTTTCGGTGACGAGTTGTTACGTAAGTGGGCCACTTACAATATCGGTTTCNTTTGTTTCTTGAAAATTTGATCACGATTTAAATACAGTATTTACTTTTAATATTGCCGATATGTCATCGAAAAGAAAACGTGTTGTATTATCATTAAAAGACAAATTAAAGTGTTTGTTTCGATTATCCGGATTTTTCCTTATCCGGACTACCTTCATCCCCAATTAGTCCGGATAATCGAGGTTCTACTGTAATTTATTTTAAAAGAATTCCGTTGGTAAAATTTGTAGTATTGATATAAAAAATATAAATTAAAAAATGTTAAACGATACTTGTAACTTAGAATTAAAAATTTTTCCATTTAATTATGCCACTTTAGCGCCTTTGGAAGGGTCCAGGTTCGATTTTTCTCTTTTTGGTCTAATGGAACGAAATAAAAAAACGTAACTAATATATTGAAATTATCGGATAAGAAAGATTGAATAAACAATAAAGATTGGAAAATTTAATCAAATTAACTCCAGAAATTCAATAGCGATCAATCTGATATGATAATAATAACATAGAATAAAAATTAAAAAGACAACACTATCTACAGATTACGTCTAAAAGCTACGTACTGTACAGTTGTAGCAGTGTAGCGTATAGACACATCTAAACACTACAGGCAATTGTTTTCGGTGACGAGTTGTTACGTAAGTGGGCCACTTACAATATCGGTTTCACACAAAACGGGTCACGTCATTGACTTTCTTAGCCGCTCGTCACTTGCACGTAACCCTTATATGCAAATTTAATTAATTAAAATACAGGATATTAAATAATGAAAAATAAATAAACACGTTCAAAGTTCGTCGCTGTTATTCTAACCGAAAAAATAGCCGCCATTAAAATCACGCTGTAGCCAATTTAATAGCATAAAAGTATGAAAATTGTGATAATAAGCAAACGAAAAAATAATCTAAAAAATATTTCAATAAAATTCCTGTATTTTAAAATAATTATACTTTTTTTTATTTAGATAAAAAGACAAAAATAAATAATAGAAATTATGTCATCCATCGGGGGGCGTTACGGCCAACGAACCCATTGTTTACGATTAAAAGTATCGACCACGTGTACGTTCAAATGCCATGTTTTTACAATAAAAGAGTACGTTTACTTTGACAGTCATCGTCTCCATTCGTCGTTTCGCGTTAGAAACTCTAGGCGAATAAATATGGAAGCAGGAAAGTATGATAACATTAAAATATAACCTCTCGGACTGGTTGTTTATGTTGGCTGACACGTGACGTCGAGCGATAAACTGAGGTGGTGTGAATTGGCACAAACTGATCTACGTTTAGATTCGTCGAGTATTGAAAATGACTACGGAGGAGAAGTTTCAGGCAGCCGTTAACGTTATTAGGAATCTACCCAAAGAAGGTTTGCATTTGTTGTTTTATATCTTTATTAATTATACCAGCGTGACTCAATAGAGATCGTTTCGCGATTCTAGTCTATTTCCATAATTAAGTTTTTATAAAATTAGGTTAATGATATGTATCGGCCCGTTCCGGAGCTTTCTAAACTAGAACCGTAACATTACTTATTCAATGCGGAATTAATTATGAAACGTGTTTGGGTTCAATCACACGCGTGCTTGTCTTTTACAACTAACACGACGTTATACATAATTAGTGTGGAATAAATTTCTAATAACGTTATACTTAGAAATATTTTAGAAATTATTCAAACAATTGCAAATATTTATCACAGATAAATATAATCTGTATATCGTCATAAAAAATAAGTTATCCTTGATATACTGTATATTTTAATCTCAAAAATATTCTAATTTTTCTTTTTTTCAAAATACTTTTTCCTCAATTCTATATTTATCGGTGGTGCGCCGACGCCGGATATTTGACCGAAAACATTAAGAAGTTCGTATTTAATATCGTTTAATTAAACAGAATGTAGCGTTAAACGCACTAATTTTGTGTTATGATTGGTTTTTAGCAAATCGCACAAACTGGTTCGAATCATTAGTTTGTTTTGAATGTGAAAGTGAAAATACAAAAACATATTTTATTAGGTTACTGAATATTTGAACATTATGGGTTCTATTGTTTAAATTTATATTTGTGGTAACTGGCTTTAATTTGCTTTCACACATACATATAAATAAATTTTAATTGTTAAAAAAAAAATAAATGTTAGTAGCATTAATTTATAAGTTTTTATTACAAGAAAAAATTTTATGATGTAATTAATGATACTTGCGAGCTTAAAAGAAAGCATTTAATGCTTTAATATAAAGTTATTATCTTCATTTTTTCAAATTAACTAATAAATTTAAGCACACAAGAGTACATAATATCAAGCAAACTATTAATATTTATTAATTTAATAAGCACTTAACACGAAAATGAGTATTTCATTTAAACTGTTTTTCAAATTTTAATCGTTTATAATAATAAAATTTGTATTCCAAAACGGTTTTGACCCTGCATGGACTCGAATTGGAAGGACGTTCGGCTGATGTGCGGATTAACAAAATAGAATTTTTTTAAAATTCAAAAATAGGTCAGTTACATATAAATTTCTGTTTTAATTCAATTTAAAAAATATAAATTGGCTATATTTATGGTATGTACATATAAAATTGAGGAAAAGTTTTTCTAAAAAGAAAAATTAGAATATTTTAAGAGATTAAAATACGTAAGAGAGATTTAACTTTTTTTTTTTATGATGGATATAGCCTAGTTATCATTTATTTTTGTGATTTTAAATATTAAATTCTAGAGTAATATTTAAAATGCTAATTGATGCAGAAAATCTCAGATTTTTCCGTATTATTAATATAAATAATAATTATTTAATATATACAAAGATATTAAAAACTAAGAAACTTTTTAAGGCAATTAAACTGAAAAAGTTTATTAATGAGACTAATTTAAATAAGGCCAATAACCTAGACCGGGTATAGGTAACTTATATAATGCGGTAGTGAGGTTTGACGAAAATGTCACGTTATGACCTTTTAAACTGTTGTCACTTTGCTATGTATGTCAGTCTAAATTTGTATGCGTAAATCATTGTAAATTTCAACCGTAACACATCTTGTTATGTTTTGCTTGTGTATGTACGTATCAGTGTGTATATTTTTCATTAGTTGTATTAAACTAGACACACTTGTACACAATCTGGAAAATCATTACTTTTTTTATGTAGTACATAACCACATAACCTCTGAGGGCCTGCACAGTCCATACTTCTGCCCTGCAGAGTACATAACCTCTGCAGGGCAGAGGTTATGTACTCTTATGATTGATAAAGAACAGTTATAATAATAGTGTATTAGGTGGCTAAAAAATTATTTTAACATGTGGATGGATTAAAATTTTGTGTGGCTTGGTATGTTGTCTATGAATTAGAATTTTGAAGCCTATCCAACATAATGAACAAAACATTTGAAAAATCAATTACCAAACAGGCTGCATGTAACCCAAATCTTTGTATTAAACACTTGGTCCACAGTATAACCACCATCAATAAATTTGAAAAGTTCTCTGTGGGAATTTTTGGGCAGCCTCTACATCTATTGATGCTGATTCTCCTTAAATTTTTTTATGTAGAGCTTTTTAAAATTTTCAAACTATCTTTTACTAGCACGACATTCATCTTCAATGTGTCCTTTAGAAGACGCTTATCCAAGTTCTTTCAAATGTGTATAAAGTTTAAGAGCTTTTTGTCTTATCACTCAAAGGAACTTTTTCTGGGTACATTTTTCTATCCAGATCATTAAAGACTTCTCCATTTTCACTATTAAAAAATCACAAGTGAGCAACACACTTTGCACTTACAACTAACCCAGAACATACACTTTCTCTTAGTTTTTTTTCAGTTTGTTTCATCATGTGAATTGTTGATTCATTTAAATTCAAGATCTTTGCAACAATTCCTGATTTTTCTCACTTCAGATGATCCAGGTTGTTGAAAAATTTTCTTTTCAGCATTGATCTCTTCCCTTTCTTTTTGATTTTGCTAGCCATCACTATAAATTTTTTTTTATCAGTAATATACAATTATAAAAATTAATTATGTGTGCTACTCATCAGGATATATGATTTTGATCACTCAGGATTTATACACACTTATGATTTTAGTTAACTTTTTCACACTTATCTAATTGAATGCTATTTTCAAGAACACTACTGAAAAAGAAAATTATAAGTATCATTCAGTTTACACACAAAATGCTAGAGGGAATTTCTAGTGTGTAAAGTTGCATACTTGTTAGCATAGAACAGTTTTTTAATTTTCTAACAAGATTGCCATGAAAAATTAGAAAATTAACTTTCATCATTAGAGAAAAGCTTTTACCATATAGTGGAAAAATTTGCAATCTACTTTGGTAACTGAAAAAACACATATCAAGGTGATTCAAATGTTCCTGGACGCTGACAACACTTTTGCGAAAAAGATCTCTAGCACTGGCAACACAGCCGTGAATGCAAATGAGTTGGCTTTTGTGTCATCATCAAAGCATATACTATTATTTTATAGAGCTGTTGAATTTATTCCTTTGGCAAATATTGATTTTTCACAAGAAAGAATGACTGACAAAGAAACTCATCATCCCCACGTTTCTTTATGCAGTGCTCGAGAAGTGCTTTACAGTGAACATACTAAAACTGGTTTTTAATTGGCCAACAATGCTCGTGACGTCATTTCGCTAAACTTTCACTGCATAAAGAAACGCGGGGTATTTGAGACATCTTACTTCATTACTGGAAATGCAAGAGTGACAGCAGAGAAAATTTGTGAAATTGAAGGCCTAGGCCTGATGAGCAATACAACTACAGTTGAATGATTCTGCAGTTTCAACTCTGGGAATACCAGCCTCGTAGACAAACTTCAGTCTGTATGATCATCAACCATTGATGACGAAGCACTGTTCCAAGCTGTTCAACAGGAGGCAGGCAGCAGAACTAGCCGAATGTCTGCTGAACTCAGTGCTTCACAATCAACTGTTGTTCATCATTTGAAACACCTTGGTTTTCACAGCAGAAGACCTTGAGAAGTCCACATGAACTGATGGAGCAGCAGGCACAAAGGAGGATACAAGTTTGCAATCATATGTTACAAAATCCAAAAGATGACAGGTTCTGGTGCAGGATTGTAATGGGAGATGAAAAATGGATCTTTTTCAGAAATCCTAACAGAGGAAAACTGTGGCTCTGACCAGATGAAGTGCCAGCACAAGTTGTTCAACAAGGACAGTTCAAATGAAAAGTTATGCTGTGCATTTGGTACAGGGCCCACGGATATAGTAAGCCCCTCTTTGCCTTAGTGGGTCTCTTATGCAAGTTTTTTCTTTCTTTCTGACAATAGTGGCTGAGACCACCAAAATTGTTTGTTCTCCATACAAACTAACTGATATTTGCTGGAGTTTGGGTATGTAGTTTTTTGTTATCCAGTTATAGTGAAGTATTAATAGTAATTATCTTTAGTCTGGCACACACTTTTCAACATGTGTTTACAAATATCAGTTAAAATTTTCCTTTATATATAAGATTACTTTTTGCCATTGAAGTACTGCAATATTATATGTATATTTCAAAGTAACAAAGCTGATTTCTTGCTGACTAGTATTAAGGGATGCTGTAGCACCATAAACACCACCTCCTGCATAAATCCCTGGAATATACTATAATTTATATTATTAGTTTGTATATCGTTATTATATATTATTTTAGTACCTAATGTGCTGACAGTTGTAGAGTATGTTGGTACTTGGCAGACTTTAAGCATGCAACTCCACAAGAAAAAATGTATACCTTTACTCACCTTTTAAATTACACATTTTTTCACATCACATTCCTCTAGCACCTGTTCATTTCTCATACAGTCTCTCCTTGTTTATACCACACACTGCTTTCAGATACCTCATCTCACATGCAATAATGCATCTCTTATGACTCTTTTGTCATACCCAAGTTTTACTGCCATATATGAACACAGGCAGCATAACAAAGCCATTCATGCCTCTTTGACATTTTTTTATCCCTTGCAAATTTACTCATTGCATCCACCACCTGCAGTCTTGCATTCACTGTTCTGGTAATATCCCCATCTATCATTCCATTTCTATCACTCATGCTTCCCAAATATACAAACTAGTGCACTTGTTCCAGCTCAATCATGCAATCCATTTGCTTATCTTTGTATTCAAACATAGTTGCCTTGGTTTTACTCACATTCACTTGTAGCATATATTCCTCACACACCTCTTCAAGATAAGACACAAGAGTTTGAGGCTCTTCCATGCTCTCTGCTAACAGCACAGTGTCATCTGATACACCGAATGACAGACTTGGTCATTTCCAATTCTCATTTCTCACTCAGGCACTCTGGATCTCCTCATGTATGCATCAATG